AAATGATTCTTGATTACCTTTCTCTTCCTTATCTCAATAACTTTAAAAAAAGGTTAAAAAAGGGAGAGGAGTATTTATAGACTAGCACACAAGGCAAAATATTTCCACACAATATTGGAAAAGACAAACTAACCCATGCAGGCAACCCATGTGATAACCTGCTTTGGGGGGAAAAAATCAATGCTTATCTGCAATAGGTCTCTTGGACCTCTTTTCATTGTTTGTCTTGACTGGCCATTCTCCAGTTTAACACAATGGAGAACTCACCAATTCTTGAAGGAAATGTTTTGAACAAATAATCTGAAGGCTTAACAATCCACTAGGTGACTCTGCTCTTACTCTCGATGCTATTTATAGCTGAACTTTAATATATTTACAGCTGAACTTTAATCAGAGCATAATTCTTTGATGTCTAGTCCACAGTCCCTTCCCCTTCCATCAGAAATTGGATCCAAGTGGAAGCTTCAACAAGCCTTACCTCTTCCCTCCCTTACATTGAAACCACTGGGATCAGAGTAACTGATTCACTATTGAGCTTGGAGATTCTGCCTGTTTCAAGGCACCCAGGCTGCAGTTTCCTGTGACTTTTATCCTAGTGGGAACCATGCCCTTAATTTAGAAAGAGTATTGCTCTGGGCTTTGGACTATGAACAGGGTCCTTTTTGGGTTGCAATGAAGTGAAGCAGCCAGAGTAAAAAGGTAAGATGCTGTGCTCTGTTCTTCATGGGACTCATTTCTTGACTCATTCCCTTTCCTGTCTCTCAGCTTGGTGCTATGTAAGGGTCCTATTTTGGTGGTTCCATATTTTATGTGATGTTTGAAACCACTGCTCACTTTGCCCTTCTCAGGTGTTGGATATTTCCAATCTCTAATTTAAAAAATAAAATATTTCTTTAGATTGTGTTTTGGTCTACATGTAGAGATAAGAAAGATGACCTATAAGAACAAGTAACAGGAGATACCAGTGTTGTAGAGCCTGGTTTTACTTTTTGGATTGGGATGGCCAAGAGGCTGGTTTGTGGGGCCATGATATTTCTGTGAAAGTCATTGAATAAAACTTCCCACACTAACAGCAACAGAGAAGGGTCTGGAATAGGGCAGGGAATGCTCTTGAAGCAACTTAGAAGCTTCAGTCTCTTCGGTAGAACAGTTTGTATTTTCCGTTTCACTGGCTTGCCTGTCAACTGTGCCCCTGTCAGTGTGGCCACCAGGATCTTGCTTCATCATTTAAAGTCCTGTGTATATCAGAGTTGTCTAGGTAGTGGTGTGCTGGTTACTGTTTAAAGACTAGATCTCTGAGAGGTAAAAGCCTAGTTAAAAACACTTGCCAATTTCCATGGTATAAATACTACCCCCAAGGTCAATTTCAAGCCATGTCACTAAATGTGGAGTTGGGAGATGTGCTGAAGGACATCATTATATAGTGTGCTCACCATATAGTTATGATAGATGGAAATAACCTCTAGAGCACAGAAAATAAAAAAGTAGTGAAATAATTAGGAAGTGGAGAGTTTTGAGTATTATCTTTGTTTAATAACTTATTTAATTGCAAATTTATACAATTTAATTTTTAATAATGGCTGTGTTTAACATTTGTCTCATAAACATCTTTTAAAAATTTAACAACTGGTATACAAGCCACCTTTAGCACAACACTCTGTCTTGGGCTGGGGAAAGAGGGAGAAAAAGGAGAAATAAAAGGGCACATTTAGTATTAAAGTACAAAAGGCCTCTATGCCATTCAGACTTTAAGATCCTTCTTAGCCTTGGTCCATGAATTCATTGAAATGACATAGTTGGTATTGGTCAGAAGCCTGGACATTGGAGCTAGACGTACTGGGTTTCAGGCTCAGCTCTACCATTTGTTAGCTGTGCAATCTTAAACAAGTGTCTAACCTCTCTTAGCTTAAGTTTCTTGTGGGTACAATAATGTACTTGCTTCATAAGGTTGTTATGGGAATTAAATGAGATAATAATATACTCTAAGTAGATAGCCCACTGGGTCACATAGTAAACCCTCAATAAATGGTAGCCATGAGTATTACTATTATTATTAACCTGATCTGTTTCTAAACTGTCTACAGTAGTTGCAATGATAGGATCTATCTCAGGTGCAAGATCACACAGAGATTGATTGTTAAAGACAATCTTCTTTGTGTAGCCTGACCTTCATTTCTGCAACAACCATTTATGTAGGGTCAGCTGCAGGGGCAGAAGTGTCCTTCTCTCCACACCTCCTGAAATAATTGCCCTCACAGGTGCCTGAAGTTCAAATACTGGTGACTCACTTCTTGCTGTTAAATGCTGCCTTCTCCCCAGGCCTGCTTTTAAAATGCAAATATTCCTTGGTGCATCATTAAGGCAGCACCTGAATAGAATGGAATGAGGCAACCAGTTCCCAGGGCTCTGGGAGTCTAAGAATGAAGAGCCTGGAGTGGGTGATCAGATACATGAGGGTTCCCACACACCTCAAACACCCTTCCATCCTCCCCTCCCCCCCACTTCCAAGTTGACCAGTTCTTCAAGCTGAGATGCCTCTAAAAGCAAATCTGTCTGTCTGCTTCCCCAAGTATCCCAGGACCAAGACCCAGTTGACCCTCAGGCCCACATCCCACTAATGAGGTGGGAACATTGCTGAATATTTTGGGTCAGACTTCCTATTGAAGGAACACCAAGTTTGCTGTTGATTTACCTGTTTCTAGTCATGGTCCCAACCACTTGATATGCGACTTTGGAAAGGTCATTTAATGTCTCTGAACCTTTTTTATTTTTTATTTTAGGATACTGAAGATACTAATGAGGATTAACCTGAGACTCAAATGAGGGAGCCCTTTATGACTGTAAAGCTCAACACAATGTGCTTTGTTGGTACCAATCTCTGTCCCTATTCTTGGAACAAATCTCTTGTCTCTGTCATTGTTTTCAGTTGGCTCCTTTTGCTTCCATTCTTCACATGTGGATATGGAGAGCAGGCCTTCTTGACAGCACCATAGATGGATGAAAATAACACATTTCTACCCTTTATGCTAAAAGTTTCTAGTAATCAAAAATACCGGTTTCTAGCTAGGATCACTTATTCATAATACAGTCTTGTGAGCAATAGCAATAATGTGAAGTTATTCCCATTTGGCTCAGGTAACTTGGCACAACAAGAAGGCAGAGGTAATGTTTGCAGGAGTCTTAAGGCTCCATGAACACTAATTACGCTCTAATTGAGGTTTTGTTTGTTTATTTATCTGGGCACCTGTGATGCTACACAAATGCTATAAAAGCAGTTGAGTAGCAGAAACCGGGGAGGAACTGTGGCTTCCAGAGGGAGCAGACTTGCAGCCAAGGAGGTCTTAGGTTCCAGGCGAGGGCCTGGGAAGAAAGCAAGGAGCCAGGTGAGCCAGTCTCTCCAGTGCTGATCAACTGGCCCCAGTTTGCTTCCATTCTTGACCATCTGTAAGGTCTGAGGGGGGTACTGGTGCCCTGGTAGGATGTTCTGACTAAGCTAAGAAAAAGGAGGTTGTAATCTGATGCTTATCTCAGTCAGTGACACAATATTTATTGGTCCCCTTACGGCTCTAAAAGAAGGAAACCTCAGCTCCAGGGTCCTCGCAATCACTGTGTGACTAGAGGGGCTTCGTGATTAAATCTTCTGTTGACTGGCACCACCCTTCAGGTGCTTTCGGTGTGGGTTGGTGAGACAGGTGGCTAGAGGATTACCTGGTCATTAAGGGAAGGGCGTTGTGTTTCAGGGCTGATTATTTTTGGTGGGGAAAAGATTGCTGGTGACCAGCCAGGGCAAGCTGCCTGAAACTAAGTGCTCACTTGGAGGCCTGCCAGGATCCAGCCAAGGGGCTGGGGTGAGGGAGTGAAGCATTGGTTGGCAAAAGGCCCACTCAGTTCTGATGAGCATTGTGTGGGGTTTGGCGCCATGCTTCTTCAGTGACTGGAGAGTGGCCAAGGGGAGCACAAAAATGACAAAAAGAAGGGAGAAGAGGGCCTAGGGGGAAAGATTACAGATATTCCACCTTGAACAGAAGAGACCAAGTTGACTAAACATGCTATTTTCTTCAAATATATGAGAGATTTCAATAAGATGTTGACAAATTGTTCTAACAACCAAATAAGAGAAAGCCATCTACCTAGAGGCAACATGGATTTTCAGTCACACTGCAGCAGGGTGCCGAATACACACTTGACCAGTGATAACATCTGTGCGCTGAATGGGGCCCTCGAGCAATTTGGAAAGTAATGAAAGGAAAGAGGACCCTCCCTGATGTATGAGGACCTGGGCCAGCCCTCCAGGTCCAAGGATCTGGGCACAGATTCCAAGCTCCTTGTATCTGATGGTGAGCTGTGGTTCTGGTTTATAAGGTTCCAAGAGCACAGGGGGTTCTTTGTGTGATAGAAAAGTGCTCCAAGCTAGTGAAAGGACTGATGGATTTTTTTAACTTTATAATAAAACGCTCTGAGTAGAGAACACCCTCCCAGAGGTGGGAGATTAATTTTATCCACGTTTTTTTCAGCTGCTTCTCTTTCCCCACATCTTGCCCATTGTTTTTTACTACTTGCTCAGAGGAGGGCAAAGAGGTTTTCAAGAAAGCACCAGAAATATGAGGACTTTGATTCCAGAGCAGGAAAAGATGGCACAGGCCGAGAGCAAGCCCACAGCAGCCTGCCAAAGAGGGCTCAATGTCTGCCCCGCCCCTGAGCCCTGGGACCAACCAGAAGACTCATTGTGTGATGGCGCCTCCAGCCCTGGGCCCTGCCTGGCCTTCTGAGGAGACACCATCTCCTCATATCCAGCAGCACAGCTCTGCCCCTGAGGTTGTGTCTGCTTGGTCTGAAATATATCTCTGAACTGGCCAGGTCCCCTTCCCAACCTGCTGTTCTCACACACTTCAGAGTTAGCTCGCCCTGAAATAGACTGAAAAGAGAAGGAAGAAATGGTTTGGATACCAAGTCTCTTTTCAACCCCAACAGTCTGCTTCGTGGTCTCGGTGAATAAGAAATGGTTTGGATACCAAGTCTCTTTTCAACCCCAGTCTGCTTCGTGGTCTCGGTGAAATTTGCTCATTTTGGAAGCCATGGAGAAGGGAATTGGGGTGGAGGGGGGTGATAATAATCATTCTGATTGAATTAATTACAAATGTTCTGTAAAACTATTCCAACTAATCAGTACAAACATTTCACCAAGATCTTGAATCACAGGATGTTTGCATAATATAATGCCCAAGGCAGACAAATACTAGATACCCCTAAGCACCTGAGACAAAAAAAAAAAAGAAAGAAAAAGAAAGAAGGAAGGGAGGGAGGGGGGGAAGGGAAGGAAGGAAGGGAGGGTGGTAAAGGAAGAAGAATAAAAAGGAGTGTGGAGTCCTGGAATCTGGAGATCCGAAGGGCACAAGCAGAGTTTCCTGGAGGAGGGTGGCTGTGTGTGAGCCTCCGGTGGCCTCTCACTTCACATCTCGGCTTCTGAGGAGCAGACCTCTGTCGCAGTGATAGCGATTCCGATGGCAAGGCTGCCATTGTCGGAGAAGAGCTGCGCCAGCGAGGTGTTGAGGACGAGGCAGTCCCCATCAGTGATCACCGAGTCCACACACTCAAGGACAGACCTGGGGGTGGCCTCCCACTTGAGACGCCGATGGTTTCTGTTGAGCTCCAGGCGGTAGGTGAAGCAGTCGGCCTGGGTGGGGGTCCCAATCAGCATCATGGTGGCAAAGAACTGGGGGTGCCCTTCATGCCTCTCCTGTTTCCTGAGCACCAGCAGAAAGTGGTGGCCGAGGCAGGAGTGCATGATGATCCAGTCAGCCGGGGCCGGGAGGTGCATGTCCGTGGCCAGGAAGACGATCTCAGCTCCCTGCAGGATATCCACTCTGTGCGTCTGCCGCAGGTGGGGCACCACCACCTCCAAGTGGCCTTCCCACTGGCAGGAGAACAGGGGGCACAGGCAGGGCGTCACCTGGGGGGCACGCAGCTCTGCCTGCTGGTGGTGGAGGTGGTGAGGGTGGGCGTGGTGGCGGGGGTGGTGGTGGGAGTGGTGGTGGCGGTGGTGGTGGGGGAGGTGGTGATGGGGGCAGCCGCCTTGCTCTGGTGCACTCTGAGTGACGGCGCGACAGCTGGACACATACTGTAGCACAAAGAGAAGGATGTTAGTTGGGTGAGGTCAGTCTCCCAGCCTGGCTGAGACTCCCCTGGTGTTCGAAGTGTTACAAGCAGAGTCTCCAGTGCAGGGAGAGAAAACTTTATTTCTTAAAAAATGAGAACTGCTGGGCTGTTTTCCAAAGTGGCAGCACCATTTTACACTCCCATCAGCATGTAAGGGAATTCCAATGTCTCTGCATCCTTGCCAACACTTTTATTATCTGTTTTGACAAATTTTTTGAGACAAAATTGTTTTGAATGTTTTGCCAAATTTAGATGCTGAAATATTGTAAGTCCTTTCTGTCATTTCATGTCAGTATAAAACCTAAATTTACCCAATTAAAAAACAAAAGGTCCTTCAAAAGATTCCTCCTACAAGAAGACATTTTCCAAATCTAATGGAACATTTTTAAAATTTTAAAAAGAAAAATGAGGGATACGGTGAATGCTTTGCGTGATTGAGATTCTGCAAACCCAGTCCAAAAAAATGCACTAGTTATGCCTTTCTGATTCTTTAATAAGATACTCAAACAAATAGGAAATGTTCTGTTGAACATGCAGTATGATGGTCATTTGTTGTAGAAAACAACAACAGAAAAAAACACCTTTCTTTTTGCTTTTTTGATACTGTCGATATTTATGTGCAGGCACTGGAGGTCAATGGATTATTCCCCCCTATTTTATTATTGCTAGTATTTTTAAAACAAAATTTTGGCAAGTTCCCATTTGTCCTTCCAGTGCTGTCAGGGATTGTGCTGTTTTGGGTGGCCTTCTCATGGATTCCCAGGTACCTGGTGGGACACAGAGCTGGTCCTATGCAACTGGGCAAGGTGCCCAGAGAGGAAGCCTCACCTGGGACCCCTGGGACTTTGCCCCCAGGCACACTTCTGCTCTGCTCCAGGCTCACTGCGGGGAGCAGCTTCCCAGACTCTCTCCACCAGGCAGCCTCCACCCTCAGGCTCTCCTAACCTTTTGTTCCTCATAGTATCGCCCCTCAAAATGCCCTTAAAAACACCGGGAGCTGTGACGGTACCTTCTGCTCAGGTCTGAGTAAACATTTATTGAGGACCTGCTATGGCCAGGCCCTGCGGGGCTAGGAGCACAGCCATGAGCAAAATAAACAGCATGTTTCTTGGTGTGGGTAGTGCAGACATTAGTGTGCATATGATAATTGTGGTTTTCACAAGGGTCCTCCCTGTGACACGAGGACTGTGATTCATATTTTTCAGGTGAAGAAACAGGCCTCCTGTAGTAATGTGCCTGGGGTTACAAAGCTGGTAATTGAAAGACAGATTCATTTTTCACACCTCCTAACTCTGAGCACAGCAGCATCCCCCACCCCTCCTCCAGCTCCCTCCTCCATTCCTTTAGTTCTTTTTTATTAACTTAATTAGCCTGCAGGACCTAGGCTGCTGAATGGAGGTGGCAGCTCTGCGGGCGGGGGGGCTCCAAGTAGGAGGCTGTCACATGGCTGCCTTTCCCTGGGCTGCCATGAGGGAGAGAGCGTCTTCTGCCCTCGTTCTCCAAGCTCTTTCTGCACTTCCGGTGCCTGTGGGCACTTGCCTCCTCACCGGGCTTTGGTGTGTAGAGGACGAGGGCACAGGTCTTTTTCACACTCACCACCACTGCTGCCCACGTTTGTCTCCCTGGACCCAGAGTGTGGCGAACAGCTGAGGCCTAGCTAGCTCCCCTTTCATTAGGGCATGCAGTGGACACAGACACACACACACACAGACACACACACACACACATACACACACACCCACACACACACCCCCCTACACACATACACACACATACACACACATACACACACACAGAGACACACACACAGACACACACACACACATGCTGGGATGGCCACCTTGGTGGTGGAGGTGACCTACAGGCAAGTGGGGCCGACTAGCTCTGCCTCCAGTTGTTCACCAGCTGCCAGTTTCTGCGTCCCCCGGGGGAATGCTGCCAACCCAGAGAGTGAGCTACGGTGCTCCTGCCCTGTCCCTGGCGGGCAGCTACTGCTGTCACCAACCTGCATACCCACCAGGCCCAGGAAGGAACAGGCTGTGGCCAAGAATCCTCCTAACACTTACCCATTAGTGTTAAATATAGGGAAGGAAATAGTATGTAGCATTTACTAAGTGTTACTAACTGTGGAAAGTAGGTATTTTTTTTTTTGCATAATTATTTCATTTAATTTTTCATAGAAAATACCAATTTCCTTTTTTAGAAAAAATAAAATTAAATCTGGCTTAGTTCTGCCAGATAGAGAAAGACAAATACCATATGATATCACTTACTAGTACATGTGGAAGCTAAAGAACAAAATAAATGAACAAACAAAATTGAAACAGACTTATAGATACAGAGAACAAACTGATGGATTCCAGAGGGGAGGGGTGTTAAGGGAGGAGTGTTGGGGGGGGGGGTTGGGCAGGGTAAAATAAGGTGATGGGATTAAGAAGTACTAAATCGTTACAAAATAGGCATAGGGATATAAGGTAAAGAATAGGGAATATAGCCCTGGTCAATGTGGCTCAATTGGTTGAGCACTGTTGCATGCACTGAAAAGTTGCTGGTTCAATTCCCAGTCAGGGCACATGCCTGGGTGTGGGTTCGATCCCTGGTCAGGGTGCATACAGGAGGCAACCAATCAATGTTTCTCTCTCTCCCTCTCTCTTCTCTCTCTAAAATCAATTAAAAGCATTAAAAAATAAATAAAGAATAGGGAATATAGTTAACAATCCTATCTAATAAAGCGGGAATATGCAAATTGACTGTCTCACCGTCACAAAGATGGTGGTGCCCATAGCCACAAGATCAGTGGTTCCCAAACTTATTTGGCCTACCGCCCCCTTTCCAGAAAAAATATTACTCAGCCCCTGGAAATTAATTTTTTTAAAATTTTAATAGCAGTTACTCATCGCCCCCAAATGCATCTGTGGCCATCACCGCCCCCCTGGATCACTGCAGCGCCCACCGGGGGGTGGTAGCGCCCACTTTGGGAATCACTGCACAAGATGGAGGCACCCAGTCTCCTCAGCCCCGCCAGAGTCCCCCAGTCCTTTCAGCCCCGCCGGGGGGTGGCAGGCACACGGTGCGGCCAGACCCGCCCTCAGCCCCCCAGCCGCCTAGGGCAGG